GCTGGGCTGGGCTTGGAGCGCGCGGGGTTCGGCCGCGGGAGACTGAGCAGGGGCCGCGCCGGGACGCCGGAGCGCACGAGCTTTCGAGGTTGTGGACCTGGGAGGGAGGAGCTGCCGCTGCCGCTGCCGGCCGCCGCCTGGAGGGAGCCTGAACCCGCCCTGGGCCATGAGCCGCTGGGCCCCAGGAGCCCGGCCGTGGTCCGGGCTGCGCTCCGCCAGGGCCCCGGCCCACCCGGCCGCAGCTGCGCGCCTGTAGGTACGGCCTGCTTGTCCCCAGTTGCCCCGTCCCCTCGTCCATCACCCTGGCTCCCAGCCGCCCCTGAGGGCGTGCGTGTGTGTGCGCACAGCTGCCCTGGGGAGCGCGGCCGCACGCGCCCCAGTCCGCGCGTGTCGTCTTTGTGTGCGCGTGTGGAAGGGAGAAGGGAGCGCGAGGGGCGAGGGAGGGCTGCGCCCCGCTGGGGCCGGCTTCCGACCCGTTCCCCGGAGATGCCGAGCCGCCTACGGTGCAGCTGCGCCCCCGCCCCCTCCTAGGGTCTGGGCCCCGCGAGGGGCGAGCGCAGCGGGCGCCCTGGAGGAGGGGTCTCCGGCGGGGGGGTGGAAGGCGACTGTGTCTCTTCCCTAGGCTGGTGGGGGGGAGCAGACTAGAATGAGGGTGAGGGCCAGAGGCTAGGGTCGGGAGGGACACAGCTCTCCAAGCTCCGGGCCAGCACGCCTCCGACCGGCCCAGGCTCCCTTTCTCATGGCCAAGGTTCCCTGACCCGCCCACCCGGAGAGCGCCCCCGCAGCCCCGAGATCCGGGGATCGCCGAGGGGGCGCGAGGGGTCGGCGCCTTTAAGAAGGGGCGGGTTCGTGCCCACCATTCAGTCCCTTCGGCCTCAGCCAGGGATGAACCTGCCGGCTGCGCGGGGCCCGAACCGCGCCTGCCCCTCCGGCTGAGACCTGGCAGAGTCAGGGCCCCCCAGGACCCCCAGTGGGATTTTCAAGGAAGAAGTCAGTAGCGACAGGGGCCCCTCAGGAGCCACGCAGGGGGGACCAGACAGCAGCCTCCGGAGTGACGGTGAACAGGTATAAGCCCGAATCTGTTCACACGGAGTTGGTGCAGGGGAGCCTCCGCATCCGGAGTCAGACCTAGGTTGAATCCTACCTCTGTCCTTTTGAGCTTCGTTTCCCTCCTTGTAAAATGGGGATGGTGCTGCCTTCCTTGTAGCTGGGTGACCCACAAGAGTTGCATCCCCTCCAACACTGAGCTTGGGATGAGTGAGCACCCATGGGAGGCCAGGAGGCTGAGGGCTGGTCTTCCTAAGAGGCTCTGGTTGCCTTGTTGGGCGAGGGAGGGCTAAAGCCTCCCCTACTCTGAACACTGCCCCCCCTCCCACACACACACACTTTGGACAAATTTCTCCCTCCTGGCCCCAGTGGCTCCATCCTAGAGGCCATTGGTTGGGGAGCTTCCTAGAGCTACCTAGCTCTGAGGACTTGGGGAGGGGTCTGGCAGTGAAGGCAATGCCATTAGGCTGATGTGGGTCACAGTGTTTATGGGGGATCTCAGGCAATTTCCCACACACTGCTTCCTTTTACTCCTCTCCCTAGAGATCTCTCTCAATACTGTTTTGAAGTTTCTGAACCACTCCTCCCTTCTCTGTGTGGGTCATTCTTAGGGATGGGGTTCCCTTGGGGATGCCAGGGTTGAGCTCTTGGTTTCTAGCTGACTTGTGCTAGGCTCGGGGCATAAGTGCCATTTCTCATGTAATCTTCACAACAACTCTGTGGGTTTGGTACTATTATTATTGCCATTTTACAGAGGAGGAGACAGATCTAGGGAAGTACGATGACTTGCCCAAAGTCACTCAGCCAACAAGTCAGGCTACCTCTGTCCGACAAGAGCCTGGTTCTAACCTCCTGCACTGTCTATTCACCTAGGTTCTGGGCATTTGGGACTTTAGGTGCCTCGGGCCTCCCGACTGCCATCCCCAGGGGTTCTGGTCCTCTTCCTCACTGTCCCTGTGGGGTCAGAGCTCCAGGGCCTCTGGGCCCTGGGCCCTGGGCCCTGGGGAGATTTTTCTCCCCCCATCACCTGGTTGGGTCTGTTTTTATGGCCATGACTGGGGACTCCGTAGGTGTGACTCCTCAACATCTGGAGGGGGTCACAGCCAAGCACCTGGTTGGTCAGAGCCAGGTGGGGCATCGATGGATGGGAGTACAGCATCTTGTGGCTCTTCTGGGCAAAGCAGAGTTTGGGCTCCATTCTCCAGACGCTTCTAATCTTCTGGTTATGGGACTCACCTGGGACTGGGTGAAACAGCCCTCCCAGTCTGGTGGAGGAGATAGGCGAAAGCCGTTTGGTATTGTGGAGGGTCAGGGAGGCCTGGGTGGAGGAGGGGGCAGGATAAAGGGGCAGTTGCAAGGCCTCCATAGGCTGGGGACCTGCCAGCTGTTGGGGCAGAGGAGTGAGCGGAGGTGGGGCAGTGCTCAACTGGGTAGAGGCAGGGCCATTGCTGAGACATTGCAGGGGACAAGCAGGGGCTGGAGGAAGAGGATGTATTAGAATCTGGGTGTGGTAAATTTGAGGTAAATGAGTCCTGGTGGCACAGTGGTTAAGCATTTGGCTGCTGACCGAATGATTCTAACCCACCAGCGGCTCTGCAGGAGAAGGATGTGGCAGTCTGCTTCTGTAAAGATTACAGCCTAGAAAACCCTATGGGGCATTCTGCTCTGTCCTATAGGATCTCTATGAGTTGAAATTGACTCGACGGCAGTGGGTTTTTTTTTCTTTTTTTTTTTTAAGTTTAAGGTAGGAAGCCCTGCTGGCACAACAATTAAGCACTCAGCTACTAACCAAAAGGTTGGTGGTTCGAACCCACCCAGTGGCTCTGTGGGAAAAAGACCTGATCTTTTTCCATAAAGATTACAGCCTAGAAAACCCTATGAGGCGGTTCTGCTTTGTCACTTGGGGTCACTGTGAGTTGAAAATCAGCTGGACGGCATCTGACAACAAGTTTGAGGTGCCTAGAGGTGGAGCCCTGGTGGCACAGTGGTTAAGAGCTACGGCTGCTAACCAAAAGGTCGGCAGTTCAGATCCACCAGCCACTCTTTGGAAATCCTGTGGGGCAGTTCTACACTGTCCTATAGGGTCGCTGTGAGTCGGAATCGGCCTGACAGCAACGGGTTTGGTTTAGAGATCAGCCAGGCTGGGAGTTGAGGAGCACAGAGAAAGGTCCAGGGAACCTTGACACACACCTGCAGTGCCCAGAGTTCTGGGGTTCTCAGAACTGAGGGAAGGCGGATGGAGGACACTGGTATGTGTACCATAAAAAGTCCCCAGTGAGGAAGGCTGACTGGGGGCTGAATGGTGAGGGTAGAGGACGGCATGCA